AACTGCGTAAAGCTGATGGTCCTCAACAGTCCATCTCAGCTTTTGGGTATTACTCCATACATGGCAGAATTTTCGTAACATCAGACAGTGGACATTTCAGGTTTGTAAACTCCGTGGTTATTTGAGTGGACTGGTTTGATGTGTGAAGCACGGTTATCGGTAGGCGTGCAGGTCAGCTGATCACAGAAATGAAGTGGTAAGAACACACCTTGGAAGCAACAAAATAAACTGAGCTACTATTCGTCATAGCAAAGCAGTACTATTGCGTACGGTGGAGGCTGCACCAACTCGATGCCCCAAACCTAGTTAGTGTGGGATGGTTGGCTTCATCCCAGGGAAGACTGCGCCAAGAATCTAGACCATTCGTCATTAAACTTCTCAGCACCTCTCTTTCTTGACTCTGTATTTCTGTCATTTCCTCGTGAGTACAACTCACGGCATTCAACAGAGATCCCATAAAATTCACCAAGCTCCTATTCCGAAACCTTCATCATCCTGTGGCGTTATATCTTCATTTCAATTGAAAAGACCAAGTGGCTTACACGAATTTTTTCTGAGAATGTTTTACTGGAATCGGTTGATTCTCTCAGCCAAGGTGACGTTGAATTACTTGAAATCAATTCGGGTTAAACGTCTGTCTTGGGGTTGCAGAATAACTCGTTTGAGCCTTCGACCGGATATGTGGAGTATATCTTTTCTCAGTCCCTTCAACCCTTGAAAATTCGTAATCTGCATTCTTTTGAACAACAATGTTCACAAAAGGGTGAACAAGTACCATTGGGTAGCCAACGGACTTCAACGTTCAAAATAGGGTTGCAGTGCTGTTCATAGTTTCGTTCACAGAGCTGATGAAATTTCTGATTCATTTAGCACATGCTTTGGTGCATTTCCGAGTCAGTTGGTGGGTTTCCTACTCACGCGTTTGATATCGTCCGCAATGGATTGATAAAACACCTGGGATTTAAGCCTTCAAGTAAGAGATTAATCTCAACACCGATCAATCACAGGATTCGTGTTTGTTAGACAAGTGATTCAGTTTCGTGAGGAATCTGGCTTTTTGTTCAAACAGTGATTCTGCGACTCAGTTACTGGGTATAGAATATGTGTTCGTAAGGGACTTCAGTTATTCTCAGAACACCCAACAGCTGTAAGCAGTAGAGCGGAGTTAGTCAGTTGGGTGGACCAGTCCCAGAGAGAAGTTCAATTTTGATGCAACTTCAAACCGCCGACTATTTTGTTGGTGAGCTTCTAAATTACGGCGTGGCTTTCAAAATTTCCGCAGGACATTGATGCACCACCGTAGAAATCACGTTTAACATGGCAAAATGTGCTTCTTCTTGCTTCGAATAATGTTATGGATTCGATAGACAGATAGACCAACATCTCCCGGTTTGTCACAGTTTATTCCGTATTTCTGGAGTGCGTGCAGGTTGTTTCATTTCTGACACGGCGTTTTAGAAAGTGTTAAGCAGGAATCTACATGGATTTCGCTATACCGCACGTCTTCAGGCGCTGCTACTGCCGATAAGCCTAGCCCAATAAATCGGGACGCTTGCCGGTCCGGCATCAAGACCAGATCTGGTTGGTCGAGAATCTGGACCCAACAGCCAATCATGACCCAGTATTGGCCAAATGGCGGTTGCCAATGGCGCATCCAGAACGCGTCAGAAATTCCAGAAAGTTATAACCGCCTACGCTATATATATGAAGCGCTGTACAACTGTTCCTGACTTCGTTTTGGGCATTATTAGACCTTGTGCACCTTTAGTGCTTGTTTTGACGTGAACGCTAGCTTGGGAGGCTCAGACCGAGAACTAAGCTGAGGAAAATAAAATACCGTCAGAAAGGTTAGTTGGATCGTCCTTTGCAATAAACTGATCAGGAAAGTGGCCATTTAGTTTGGGAAAAGTTCATTTAGAGTAGATATAGTCGAGAAGGTTTTTTGCTCAAAAATCCAATGAAACTGATTCTAGCAAATATTGGGGCGATGGTCACGCAAGTGATCGAGATAGATACGTGACGAGTATGATCAGGTAAGCGAGTCTGATGGCTAATGTTCTGTTCATTGACTTTGGCAAGTTAGTTGCAAACTTTCCCTCACAGTTGGAGGTCATATCACCCGTGTGTGGTAAGTTCGCGTTGCCTTGCTGTTTAGTGGCCCATCGTTGTGATGATGTTCAGGAATGCTGTGCTTTTATTTTTGTCCGTCTCGTTGGTCGGAGATTGTGATTGGCGGCTTAAACGATCAGTGCTGTTGGTTGGCCAGTTGGCGTGCCTTCTGATTCGTCAACACTTAGAAGGCCTCCAACTTTGACCCCTGCGACCCGGACTCCATAACCTTTGTCTTGTTCTGGCTACCATGTTTCTCCGCTGATCCGTCAGTTCACACTGAATTATTCGTTTGACGATCCTTTGTTTGTAGTTTTGCATAGATTAGGTTGCGATCGACATGCCTACCTTTTGAGTTTGTGACTGTCATGGTTCTAGGAACTCCCTTGCCCACCTTATATTTCCACATGTCAAAAACTTCGCCATTTCGGGACTAAATCTGTGCCCCTCTTGATCTTATTGTGTAGAAATCAGGTTCATGTGTGGATCGTGTTCTCCTATAGCTGCATTATGTTTCTTATTCCAAACCCAGAGGTGCACTTCGACATTTCACAGGATTGCGGGCCACTGACTGCCAAAATGGTGTGCTTCGTGTAACCATCTTGCAGGAATTGGATCATTGTTGTCATTTACTGACAAATCATCAACCGATGTGTTTGGCAGACAAATCGTCCGCCCTCATCTGGAGTGTGCCTGGTTAGGAGCATGACATTAATCACGCAAGGCCATAGAGGATGCGACTTCAGACTTCTATGAATGTCGTTATGTTTATTTACTTGACCAAAAGAACAATTCATTCAGTTTCGTGTAGTTTGTGGCAACTTCTCATAGTGTATTCACATCAGTCATGTCGAGAATATATTATAGCAAAACACTTGCTTCCGCGGCAAAAACTACATGAGAGAATCTCAGGTGTATATCTGCGCACCGGTTTGCGGATACAAAAAATTTTGACATTGATGTGTCCAGTTTCTTGAACTCCCGGTTTCTGAAGGTTTCATGGTAATACAATAGGGATGTGGCCGATTCACTTTCATGTGATCACACCTCGCTGTCCACTTCAGCGTCACCTTCCCTCTTTCTAAGTTCAAACACGGTTCAAGGGAATTAATGGTGCTCCTCCTGAAGACCAGTGCAGTATTTTTTAGCCCCGAAGAATGGAGAAAACCCAAGATTGTGCTTGATGTGTCATGGTCTGGTGACTGTCAGGTGGACGTGATAAAGCAGTCAGTGATAAAAGCGGAGTGCAACACGCTAGTCCAAATAGCAATCATGTGCTGTCTTTATTTTCATCCGATTAGTCATTACAGAGCGAAACCCTGTTCAGAATGTTCCACCAAAGTGAGAGAACAGTTATCTGGTACAACTACAGCAAAGACCACCACCGATGAGCTAACAACTCCGTTCTTTGCAGGTGAGCAATTAAAATGGACGATTAATCATTTGCCAGTGAGGTTTGTTTATCCCACCGAGAAGTAAGTATGCATCTCGGAGTGATTGGCGGCAAACCATCTGTCCCGTAATGGGATGAATCTATCGCATCACACTGGTGTAGACCTCTTCTGCTAACTAAGGCGTACCAGTGAGTCCAGTGGCACTGTTCACTACCTCGTGAAAGTCAAGCTCAAGCATCTAAGTGGTGGTGAGAATCTTTTGAAGCAGATGGCTTAGCCCATCACAAAAATTGTTCAGTAATTGATCCGTATACTGTGAGGTAACTCACCCTCGACATTTGAACTGATCAAACTGCATAGGTTGCGCTGGCTTGGCCACGTGCTGCGTATGCCAGTCGACCGACTTCCTCAAAGGGCTCTTTTCGCACAACCACTTGGAGGGTGGAAGAGAGCCAGAAGCGGTCAAACAATGACTTGGCAGCGAAGTATAAAAGCCATTACTAGCAAACTCAGCTGCGCTGGTCATTGCCGTCTTCCTGGATGGGGACCCCGAGACGGGCCACATCAATGGCTAGAGACATTGTCAGACATGGTCCAGTCGCGCCCTCAATGGCGCTCATGCACCCAAGCTATTGCCTTAAATGCATAGCTCCCTTCCCAGTCCCTCACTTAGCAGTGCTGTATCTACTCACTAATTTATCAGCTCCCGCCTCCAATGCGCAGCCACCTACCCCACCTCCCCGAATCATCGGTGAACGAAACTGGGGCAGCTACAACCACTGTACGACAAGTGCGCGGTTATTACATCTGACACTAATGATGATGATGACCCTAGACTACTCATAGCACATACTGAAAGATTCCACCAACCAGCTCACACGTCTTCACGGTTTCTCCAGAGTGTCCAGGACTTCGGATATGATGAACTCGCAGGGATTAGTGGAGCAATCAGGAAATATTGTGCAAATTCATGATCGAAAATATAGTGTATATATACCGAGAACGCTGTTTCATACCAACAGTTGTCACGAGACCCCATTTTGTTGCTTTGCTCGTATGAACTATGTAGTAGATAAGTTTGATACTGAAAGTTGTCCCCCCAACCCGACCCCCGCTTGCGTTTTTAGGAAAACGGAGCGGCATTGCCCAGGAGAGTGTTTAAGCCGAAAAATTTTGGAACAACAAACTTGTTCAGTAATCTCCAAGGATGTAATTTCCCTCGCTTCCTAAGCCGAATTAGGTTGACTGGAAAAAATCGTGAACCACACCATCATCGAGGTAGTCGAGCAATGTACCACATTTGAAAGAGATATCAAGTCTTCCATCAAACAATGATCAGTCAGTTGTTTGGACCAGGCAGTTTATTTGTTTACAGATTTGGAATCTTCGACCAGGTGCATACACCCGTCATAAACGGCCTGATATTGTTTTATATTCCGCAGGGAGAAAGTGTGTTACACTGACTAATCACATCAGTACAACATCGCGGGAACTTACCGCTGACTGGTGATCAACGTTCACATCACTGTTCAGTAGCAAATTGGCCGCTTTCACATCGTCTTTTTTGGCTGCAATATGCAAAGCAGGCAAACAGACTTTGCCTCTTGAGTCGTTCTCCAGCAATAGGGCTACAATCCGGTCATGGCCTTGTTGTAGGGCAACTGCCAAAGGGGTAAAGCCATCGTCGGTGGTCAGGGCTGGATTCGCCTCCTTGGAGAGCAACAACTTGACGACTTCTAAGTGATTTTCTTGAGCGGCCATGTAGAGCGGAGTGAAACCATTCTGTGATTTCGGTATGACGAAAGACAAAATGAGGGGATGAAAGTTTACACTGGACAATTCTTATCGCTTTTTAACGCCATCATCCGTCTTTTGAAAAAAATGAATGCAAGCAAGGGTGACTTTGACAAAGAAGTAAATATCTGACACAACCCCAAATAGATCCAAAGGTTTCGTATAACCAGGAGAACAAAACGATTCTGTTTTCAGTCTTTTATGCAAGATGCTCACAGAGGTGTTTCTACATTAGCTTGCAGAATGATGCGAGACCGTTTCAGATTGATGATCTCCAGGATTTAGCGTTCATAGATTGCAGAGAACTAGGATTGACTCCACACCTTCACCCAGCTCATGTGTGATTTGCTTACAGTAAATCCAGTTGCCAACCTTCTCCATGAAATTAACGAGGTCTTTGTAAGACCTATTTTGTTCACTCTCCGCCTTTTCTGTATCAGATTTAAGCTGAAACATTGAGGAGAAATAAAGAGGCAACTTCCTGCTCCAGTTTGTATGACCATTACTACAACTATACAGTGGTACATTCTCATTCCACTTGGTTCGGTTAGGATGACATGTTTTTGTGGTTTCAGTCGATTAATGAGTATCTTCCTTCCTCACCATTTTTGTCCGCAAGACATCTTAACGGCTGGGGCTCGACATCGATTCAAGCTTCTTCCATGATCTGGTCGTGCTCACATCTAAGTATCGAATTCTCATTGTCCTACTTCTAACCAAAAGGATCGTACTCTCCCATATAGGAGGACACGGCGCGATTTACCATGGTTACCGGAGATTTTGAAGGTGACATTTTTGAACAGAGGGACGAACGAAATGATACAAAATCCACCTTTACAGGTAGAACATCCAAAAAATAAGTTTCTCGGCAAAATATCGATTTTACTTTATTTGCCTGATGAAAGAATCCCCCCATTTGATCTTCTCACCAGGAGTATTCTTACTTGCCCTCATTGAATACCTGACTGCGTTGTCGAAATGATGAAGTAAATTAGATCTGAAACTCTCAGTGCTTGCCCAGTTTGATGGAAAGACTGTGCATCATATGGTCTTATCATGGGTAAGATGTCAGCAATTTCTGTGAGTCATTCTGTAAACAGAAGTGCGACAGGAAGGTGCGCCTCTGAAGTGCTCCAAAGGTGCGAAAGAGAAAGGTGATTTTTGAATAGACATAGGAGGCAGCTAGAAGTTGGTGAGCAGGATGCTACACTCGTTTGACACGGGACTCAAGTGAATCCACCTGAATCTGTCGTTTATGATGGCCCGTTTACGAGCAGTGTGTTACGTCTAGACAACAATATATTATGATATCTCGGATACCGTAAGAGCTGAAACATGGGGCGGCCTGGTTCAGTATACTCAGTTGAGGCCCAGCATAAACGGATGGTTCAGTTGGGTTCAGATGACTATCCAATCAAAACCAAATGTGTGTGTAAATGAGAGTATTTGTCAGAAGCTGTCCAACTTGGGTTCAGGCAGAACCGAACGCTGATAGAAAATCGCGAAATAGCGAAGCCAGTAGTGGATTATTGGGGAATTTTCAGTAACCTTATGAGTAGTATGTTGTGGCTAGACAATAGCTGTTGTAAACTTTTCGTCAGGTAGACAAAGCTACTCTGTGGTTTACCCACTCTCCCAGAAGGTGATGTCAGCCGTATGCTGCTGCATCGTTATGGAAACTGCTAACAGCAGCAGCATTTACTAGTACCAAGCTGCCAGACAGGAAGGTAATCGAGTAAGAGAGGATGTAATAGGTACTACGGAAAATGTTTGCACGCTCATCAGGGATAGCAGATGTTATTTCATTTATTCGGACAGATAGAGCACACAAACTGAGGTCACCAATCGAAAACTGATCGATCGTGTGACTGATTTAACTGGCATATCATACTTGTGTGACCAGGGTGCCCAAATCTGGAGGGGAGGGTGATTGGTTTCTTCACCTAGAGAGTTTGACCGAAATGCTCGACTGCAAGGCAACAGTCTTCTTTTTTAATAACAATAGCAGGATAAACTTAGTTCCACTGGAGTCGCGCTGTAAACTATGTTAGTCCCCTGGGGGAACAACTGACGGATACTTGGATCAGCGGACCGATCCTCTGGCAATTAGTTCATTGCACAAAAATCTGTTACCCCGTTCCTGATATCCATGTGTATCAAACCTCTTCTGTGTAGTTGTGAGGGGTTGGATTGCCGATATTAGCAGTCGGTAAAACGAATCTTCACAATGAATCTGAAGCCAACAACCTACATCACATTTTAATCGAGGAAACGCTCAACAAGCCAGTTAATCGTCGTTCAACTGTAACATCGATGCCTAGCTGCCATGCTACCCGAAGGAAGCACGAAGGCTGGGATACTGCCAGGTTGCCCAAGCCTAGACAGGGAAAGTCGAGAAGCAGAGGTCGGGTTCGAACCGTGGATCTTCCGGTCAGGAAATTCGCTATCTAACCACTTTAGCCATCTCACAAGCCAGTTAAATAATCGCTGGATTCAGCAGAAGTTGTTTCCAGGGTTTAAGAGCATTGATAATTACTCTTGAACACAAGTTAAATGGCTGGCGGTTGTCTCTTGTCATTCGGCTGAACCAATGAGCCTTAGCAGAACGGGGTATTCTTTACGATTAAGCACCCACAGGGGATGATCTATCTTCTCAGGAGGATAGAATAGAATTACTTGTAGCCTAGTGCTCACGTTTACGAAGCTCCACGCAGGCGTGCTTGAAGCGTAGTGCGACTAACAGTTTTACCAACTGGTCTAAAAGACACTCAAAGACAGTCCAGTAAAACTACATCAGGCGTAGTAACTCGAAAAGTTAAATTGAAAGGAATTTGTTTTGTGTAGAGAGTGAGTTACTGTCAAACAGCAATGAAGCGAAACCTCATTACATCAACTGATGCCATCTGGTATCTGCCAGCGATCATTCCTCCTGCCGACGTAGTGAGAAAATATCCCTCGGTTTTAACGTCTTTGATCTGAGACGAAATACACACGTACAAAGTCCATGGTAAAATAAAAGTAAACCAAACGAGTTTCAGCAGCTTCCGGGCTGATCGTTGCATTATTCACAGCAGAATAAGGATGGCGGTGGTGTGATTTGCTCCAAAAATAGATTGCTACATTAAAAAATCACAGTGGTGAACAGTTTCTCAGGGGAAATAAAACCTAGTTTTCAATTTGCCTCTTGAGACTCATATCTTGGAAGCTCATCATCATGGTCCACTAGAATCGCGAAAAATAAAAATTACTCACTTATTTGCCACTGAATGCAGTAGGTTATCCATCCATTAGTAAAGAAAATAAAGTGTCTCCTAATTAAACAGGTATTTCTATAGAAAAAGCTGACAGTTCAGGTTTCTCTTCACTTCGAATTAATAAACAACCACTGGGCAAAATTACTGATTTTGAAGCCCGAAATGTTGGTTGTACTCAAAATCTGGCCACTGCGTCCTCAGACCTAAAGTTCGAAAGGGGTCGATTTTGCCCAAAATTTTGCTCCCGTTTTTTTATCGTGCTTCAAACGTCACTATGATCTAGTTTACCCAATGTTCCACTATTTGTTGTGTTCGAATAGGGAACCCTATTGGTTCGATATGGAGCGCAGTAGGTAGAGGTTGGAAAATGGTTCACAATAAATTATCTTCACTCCTTATACTGGCACACAAACCGAAGGTCTACTAATAACCATCGGCACATACCTTTTTTGAAATAACTGCTGCGCACTGATTTCCAAAATAACTCACAGGCTTTCTTATTCTAACTAAACTTTCGGTTTTGGCTGCGTGGCCGTCATGTGAAACATTGAGTCACGTTGTGGGATTCTCAAAAGTCAACCCGAAAAAAAACATAATCGGAGAGAATCAGCCAACTAAGTAAGAGGAAAACCAACCTGCGCCTGAGTGTTAACACTTGCACCGGCATCAAGAAGCATTTTGACCACTTCGAACTGTCCAGCCAGGCTTGCAATGTGCAGAGCTGTATTGCCCTTCTTGGTTGCACGATTTGGATCTGCGCCACGGCTCAGTAGTTCTCGGACAACTTCCACGTGTCCTTCCTTTGAGGCCAGGTGTAAGGCGTTCAAACCATTCTGAAGGGAAGTAGTAAAAGGAAAGTATTAATAAATGACTAACAGGATTGTGACTACCACGGAGCAGAATAGAGAAAAACTCACTTGACTGAGTTCCGGGATATATGTCTCATTCTCTTTCCAAAAAGATTACCAAAGTCAGGCCTATGACCGGCACATTTTTGAGATTAGTCTATAAGAGTAACAGCATGTTCCTATTGACTACTCGGAGTGCACCGTTTACAACTATGTTCGCATCCAACCTTCTGGAAATTTCGAACCCACATTCCAACCTGAAACTGTAGCCAATCTATTCTAAAAGGCCGAAAAGCGCGGCACATCATCAAAGGTACACACCTCATTAAATTCTGGGGAGATTCGTACATTCCAACTTCCCGATCGGATTTCAAACATTGACATTCACAGATCAGCAGCGTGATTGATACGCACATGGAAAAAATAGTGCGCAAATCAATTCACGTGACCTGGCACTAACTGGCCTCTCGAGGGACTACGTCATCTCAGATGGAGGCCCCGTGCAACTGGTGGGAAAATTTCACTTCTAAGTATATTACTCATGGCTTAAAAGTAGTCAAGATAACTTCAGCCAAAAATTTTGCATCCCACAATCCAGTCAACGTAGGCCGGGAGTCCGAGGCACCCTGTGCATGTGATTCCTTATTTTGGTTTCTCCAGCTTGGGGTTTCTGAGCCCAAAGGTTTCCTCGCTATTCGAAACCGAAGCTAGGTGAGCAAGTTTAGAATCCCCTCCACCACATCCGCAACCTTTAAAATCCTGCCCTCAAAAAGAAGGACTAACATTGAAGGACAGTTTAAACAAGAAATAAAGTCATCTTCGAGGGTTGCACACACTTGTCAGAGCACACGTAATCTTAATCCGAAAAATAACGAAAAATGTACATTTGGTTTGACTTGTGATACACCTATATTTGGTGCTTTACGTTTCAGCTATCTACTCAAAAAACCATCGAAGAGAAGAGGTTCATTGTGGGGTTTTTGCCAGAATAAACAATGTGTTGTCTCAACAACTGCTGTGCAAGTCCTCCTCGGCCTGTTCTAAATTGTTCGATGAGTATGCTGCTGGAACAGACCAAAAATATACCTTTTATAAGCTTGGTAATTGTTGCAAAATCAGGAAGTACGTTTTAAACCGGCAACTGGAGCGTTATTTGGGCCTAAACGTGATAAACTGACGTAGGTAATAGGGCATCTCAAACTTGGAGCCTCAGTATTATGGTATACGATCAGTGGTTGTCCTAGGAGTTGGACCTTTCGACACAAGGGACACTTTATCCAGTAGAATGCTTTCCGGTCCTTTAAACTTCAAGATGTTCGGTTTGTTGTGAATGGCTAATCCGTCTTCGGCCCCAACTGGAACGAGAACCATTGCAAAAACCCTCCTTCATGATGAATTCTGCCCATAAATACGGTGAGTTTTGTTCTTATTTATCGCCCTTCAGTTTTTTCAGTTGAGTAAGCGGCAGGAGTTGTGTATTTGAAAATTTATGCAACATTGAAACATTTTGTAAATAACTGTCAGAAGCCCAAATTATGGTTTCTCAAGTGATGACACATCACACCAGTGTCACTGATTTCAAGGTGGCACCTAACGAAACAACGGATAAGGTATAATTAGCACCGATGAGTCATCAGCCCCAATGGCAATTTGTCACAATAATTGCAAGCGAGATGCACGGATGTGGTCACGTGTTTTACGCGTGTTTACGACTGGTCAATAAATCCATGAAAAATGGAAACACATAAGTCAGGTGATTAGAGAGTTCAGTGCATCTATAGACGAGGTTTATCGCATCAGTATTATCGAAATTTCTCCCTAGTGAAACTCAGATTTCCAGTCAGTCGTGCTATGATTGCTTGTATCAAGCATGCTGGCGGTGGGCACCGGTGCTTTTTCATCATCTGTCCATTAAGTAGAGGAAAGTCTCTTCAAGAATTAATTCTAGGTGCACACGATTCTCGACAGTCATTCAGTGATTCTCAGTACAAACTTCAGCTGACTGACAGCCACATCTCGGAGAATCTGTGACCAAACAGAGGGAAGAAAACCCGAGCCCACTGTGGAAGACAGGTCACGTCGATAGCATTCAGAGTTTTTCCGTAACCGATTTCGTACCCTTTCGCCAGGTTACGTGTCGTCTAATTTCGGGTGTGCCATTCTGAATCATGTGCAAAATATGGTGCAGTTTTGGGAGGCGATTACTGGGCAGACACAATACTTTACTGAGCCGCCGAACTTCAAAGTTCTCACAGTCTTCGACGAAAGCCTTTGATACATATCGAGAAGCTTGTTGCGAATTTGCTTTGACAAGCATATATGAGCTGTGCTTTCAAAAAAGTCGTTATATAAAGTCTGGAGACCTGGCTATTTCGCTGCTGTCAGAGGTCATGACTCAGATCTACCGCCTCAGATGCACACTCCTTGAGACTCAGTAGCATGTTGGTTGTTGATCTGTTCTCCATACGAAGAGACATACTCCGTGCGCTGCTGAACGCACATACTGTGAACGGGTGATCTGTCCGCATACAGTGACGAAGCCTCTGCAATTCAGTTGTCAAACTCGGCGAACAGATCAGCAGCCACCTGATCAACAACCTACAACATTCCGACACGTTATCGTTGGTATGTTATCTGCTTGTTACATATACCGAAAATAAGCAATTGCGATTCGAACCTAAAGAATCCACGCACTGATCTTCTCTGCCAAATCGAGGTCGAAAGTGACATGACTTGCATCATATCTAGGAGGTTCTACGAGTTCAGTTGCTTTTCCCTGGAATGCAGCCGAGGTTTTCGAGAAATGTGGTTAGAAACATAAAACGTGCATTCTTTGGGGGTGTGAACCATACGCTACAAGGTTGTTGACGGTCTGTCTAAAGAGTTATATGCTTTGGACGTAATACATTACCCCCAAGGTTGCTGAAAATTCTTCAACAGCCCACGACCGGTTTCGCCCTTCTTGGGGCTCATCAGGTAGGCAGAGCCCTGAGTTTCCGTCAACCTTATGTTCTACCCAAATTGCACAGAATTAGCTAAATAAACTCATTTGCATACTGATTTGGTTTTAATGGGAGACTTACCTGGAACAGATGTACCTCTCGTTTGGAAAATTTTACAGCGAATGAATGTGCTGGACCAAACTGGTATGCGAATGAGTGTATTTCGCCAGGTATATGCTTCCCCCTCTAATCCTAAGATAAGGGCAATTTTGAGGAACAGGGCCACACCGGTAGGGTTGGAAACAATTTGCAAACCCTGGAGTTTTTAGAATATTTTACTGTTCGTTTAATAAACTCACTACACAGAAGAAATTTTGCCACGCACGGCCATTTGTAGGAAAGCATTTGGAGGCCTGACTGGCACGTGATCAGAAGTGTATGCATAGTGTATGAGGTATGAATTAGGCTCACAAGGTTTTGTCGATTAAGCATGATTGGACGAACCAACTTTATTTGGGCACCCGATGGATGTATCCGAAAGACTATGGAGGGTAACACTTATCCGTCATTTCCAGATAGTGCGTACCGTTAAACTGAAAAATGTGTCAAGTAACACCAGGTCACACCAGGTCAGTGGCAACTGCGAGAAAATTGAGCTCCGCGGCAAATCAAAATTTTCAGACCACTGAGGAGAGAGAGAGGGATAACCTCGCTGATTTCTCAACCATCGGGTCAAATTTGACCCGACCGAGCTGTAAACAAAGTAAAACTCTACAGGGATCCAGATAATCGTTAGACTGACTAAAGAAGCAAAGAATGAACTCTACTGTTATTGCTTTTTGTTCCGAATGAATCAGACTTTAGCTCGACCATTATACTTACACTTAATTACGTGCGCTTGGTTCCGATGATGAGATACGGATTAAGTCACTTTGAATTACTAGGTACTCTTTTTCAAATGAGACAACGGAAATTCCTCGAGACCACTGAAGATATTCCTTATTCTGTGAAAGACACAACAACCAAAATAATGTCTAGTTTTCAAAGACTATAGATACCTAAATGAGAACAGATCAGATCCCATAGACTTCAGTGAACAGCAAATGACAACTCTGAGTTCCCATTACCCAGATGGTCGCGATTTCAAATGAGCATTCTTGCACATTCGTATTTTCTGATAAACAGAATTTATATATAGGAGAGGAAAATGTTGGTAGCTCAGGTAGGGTAGATGGTCGCTGGCTTGTTCACTGAGCTGGGCAACTTGATTGCAAACTTTTCATCACCAATCGAGGTGACATCATCAGTGCGTTATTGGGAAGCGTGCGTGGACTTAACGCACAACCACTTTCCCATCGCTATGCATCACTAAGGTCCCCAATAATGCACTGATGATGTCACCTCGATTGGTGATGAAACGTTTGCAATCAAATTGCCCATCTTAGCGAACAAGCCATATGGGAAAGTTTCCCAAACTGATGTTTATTCCAGCAGTCTTTTTTCGGCTTTGGCTTGGTCCCAGCCTCCAACTGGGCAGTTCCGCGAAACAAGGAATAGAGTCGGTTTTTGCTAATGGTATTTGTGTGTGTGTGTGTGTGTTCACGCAGCAGATTCCAAGAGTTCATGCAACTTTTCTAGAAACCCAGTAATATGTTTCACATTAAAAAAATGAACGAATGTTTGCTTAAGGCTGGGCGCCGTGTGAGTGATCACTTTATTGATTTCGTCCGTTGAAAGTAAAAACGAGGATAATGCCCATCCCACTGCTCATTTGTTCCCATGCGTCCATTCCGTTTCTTTTAGAAATAGTGACTAGGTTGGATTGAACGCATGCGCGTGCGCTAACCAGTGGTTCGAAAGATGCCGTATAACCTGGGCGGAATAGGCACATTCGTGGCAAAATGAGTCATCCAACAAGCCCAAGTGCATGTCTGCGGGGCTGGGCAGGGAAGCAAGCACACACGTGCACACCCAGTCGTCATCATTCAGTCTGTATGACTAGCCAACCACCCAGCGCAAAAACAACAACGGTTTGAGTGACAATCACTCAGTTTACGACGTAAGAATGGCAGTGAATCGCATGGGAGCGATTGCCCAAACAGCGATATCGACATCCACGCCAATCTACCCAGAATATTGCACGTTTTCTTCCTTGTATTGGCTTCCGTTCTAACCTAAATCTGCGATGAAAGTAATGGGTTTTGGTTCATTGGATTGCTATGCTGCAGATCAATGGCTGAACCTTTGTTCATGCACATTTCACATTAAAATACGGTTCAACGGTGAACAGATGTTGCAGAATTTTAGTTCCCTCCCATTCCACTCCCCCCAGTTCAGATTCGGCCGTCAAACGTAGCACACATTTCAAAATCTACAAGCATTGGGGAACAGAGGGGACCAAAGCGTGCAGAGTGGTACGACTCGGAATGTGGATGCACTGAAAAGATTTTTCCTTGTGAGAGAAATTTTGTGGGGATGTGAGGTGCTATCTACCTGTGCAGTTTTTTTTATAGAAACGTCGTCCTTCAAGTGTAGACAAGCTATGCTGAAAAGCTGATAGGTGCTGTGTACTTCCACTGAAGAATTTGTCCAGCATCAGAAGCTGCATTGGTTGAGGCATGTGTTGCGTATGCCTAACCATCGTTTGCCGAAGACAGTGCTGTTTTTAATGCCCAACTCAAAGTGGCGGGAGCAGAGATGTGGTCAACCCTTGACCTGGCAGAGGGCTATGAAGCAGATCACGAAACGTTTGGTTGCTATCGGTGCTAATTGCCTTCCAGGATGAGGACCGCGTGAACTTTACTGCATCTGGTCGGAGACACTAAAAGATATGGCTGTCGACCGAGGTCAATGGCGTTCTTATTGTCAGTTTCTATTCAGATTGCCTGAATTAATCTCTGGAGATGTAAGCACCTCTGAGTGCTTGTAGTTAGCTAGCACTAATTCCCTTCCCCGTCCATCCTTATTCTTTTCTTCACAGCAAGGCTTTCAAATAAATGATGGTTTTACGGCAGTGAAGCATCACTGTTGAACACTGATGTCATGCTATCAATGATGATGATGGATGATGATGATGATGATGATGATGATGATAATGATGATGATGATGATGATGATGATGATGTTGAT